CTCAAGTTGGTCATGGGGGTTCTGTGTGGGACGTTTGCCACAAATCTGTCTTTGGTAGGGTTCAGAATGCTCTTTGATTGTACGTGAACTATAAATCCCAGTAACTACAACACCCAATTGTCAAGGTCTATTTCCCCCAAACTCCATCTGTGTTCATATTTGGGCATATGGAATATTAATGCCAAGTTTGGGCCAGATCCATCATTGTTTGAGTCCACAGTGCTCTCTGGATATAGGTGAACTGCAACTCCCAAACTCGAGGTCAATGCCCGCCAAACCATTCTAGTGTTTTCTATTGGTCATGGGAGTCCTGTATGCCACTTTTGGTTGAATTCCATCATTGGTGGAGTTCAGAATGCTCTTGGATTGTAGGTTAACTATAAATCCCAGCAACTATAACTCCCAAATGACAAAACCAATTTTTTTAGAGATGGTCATTCCTTTGGTTACTAGGTGTCTTGTGGCCCAATTTTGTGGCAATTTGTCCAGTGATTTTTGAATTACCGTAAAAACCGGGGTAATAGACGACTTTTTAAATCTTTAAAATCCTTTGAAAACTTGGGGGTCGTCTTGTCTTCCGGACATATTAGATGACGAATGGCAGTGGAGCCGAGGCAGCGGAGGAGAACATCCGCCCGCAGCGGCCTGCCCTCCGACCTCCTTCCTCACGCTGCCTCTTTCCTCACTGGGCCCAGCTGGGGCCCAACGGAGCGTCTGGCACCTTTCCCTCCTCCGTCCTCGCCCCGCAGATGCCTTCCTCGGCGGTGGAGGTGCACACGGGATGGGAGAGGAGGGAAAGATGCACCCTGCGGAGGCCTGCGCTGTCTTCTGCAGCTGGTGCACACCTTTCCCTCCTCTCTCATCCCGTGTGCGCCTGCCGAGGAAGGCATCTGCGGGGCGAGGACGGAGGAGGGAGACCTGCGCTGGTGAGCGCGCTCACCCCTGCTGCTTCCGGAGAGGCTTCCAGCATGTCTACAGGCTCCTGCAGCAGCGCGGCGTGGGCCAGACGCTCCGTTGGGCCCCAGCTGGGCCCAGTGAGGAAAGAGGCAGCATGAGGAAGGAGGCCGGAGGGCCGCCTTCCTCACGCTTCCTCTCTCCTTCCTGGACCCAATTGAGGCCAATGGAGCATCTGGCCCTTCGCTTGCCCTGCTCTCTCGCCGATAGCGAGGGTGCAAGGTAGGCGAGGAGGCCTCCGCGCGAGGTCTGGCGTTGTGTAAGCCCTCCTCGCCCGCCCCGCTCTCTCGCCAATGGCCATCGGCGAGAGAACGAGGCAGGCGAGGAGAGCTTCCGCGATGCCAGGCCTCGCGCGGAGGCCTCCTGGCCTGCTTTGCACCGTCGCCATCGGCGAGAGAGCGAGGCAGGCCAGGAGGCCTCCGCGCGACGCCTGCTGTCCCAGAAGCCCCTTGTCGCCTGCCTCGTGCTCTCGCCAATGGCCTCCGCGCAAGGTGAATGGGGAAAGCAACAGCGTGAGAGGAGACTGAAGGGAAGAGAAGAGGTTGCAAGGCAAGCGAAAGAGCGAAGGAACAGGGACCCAGATAACCCAGTCCCCTTCCACACAGCTGAATGAAATCCCACATTGTCTGCTTTGAACTGGATTATCTGTGTCCACACAGCCAGATAATCCACTTCAGTGTGTATTTTATGCAGCTCTATGGAAGGGGACCCAGAGAACCCAGGCCCCGTCCACACAGCTGAATGAAATCCCACATTATCTGCTTTGAACTGGATTATCTGAGGCCACACTGCCAGATAATCCACTTCAATGTGTATTTTATGCAGCTGTATGGATGGAGCCCCAGATAACCCAGTCCCTTTCCACACACCTGAATGAAATCCCACATTATCTGCTTTGAACTGGATTTCTGAGTCCACACAGCCAGATAATCCACTTCAGTGTGTATTTTATGCAGCTGTATGGAAGGGGACCCAGAGAACCCAGGCCCCTTCCACACAGCTGAATGAAATCCCACATTATCTGCTTTGAACTGGATTATCTGAGGCCACACTGCCAGATAATCCACTTCAGTGTGTATTTTATGCAGCTGTATGGATGGAGCCCCAGATAACCCAGTCCCTTTCCACACAGCTGAATGAAATCCCACATTATCTGCTTTGAACTGGATTTCTGAGTCCACACATCCAGATAATACACTTCAATGTGTATTTTATGCAGCTGTATGGAAGGGGCCTCAGATAACCCAGTCCCCTTCCACCCAACTCAAGTTTGGTCCAATTTAATTGTGGTTGGATTTCAGAATGCTCTTTGATGGCTGGGGAACTAAACACCCCAAGTCCCAAATGCCAAGGTCTATTTTCCCAAAATCTCTCCAGTGTTTTCTGTTGGTCGTGAGAGTCCTGCAGGCCAAGTTTGGTCCAATTTAATTGTTGGAGTTCAGAATGCTCTTTGATGGCTGGGGAGCTATACATCCCAACAACTCCCAAACGCCAAGGTCTATTTCCCCCAAACTCCACCAGTCTTCAGATTTGGGCATACTGAGTATTTGTGCCAAGTTCTGTCCAGATCCATAGTAATTTGGGTTCACAGTGCTCTCTGGATGTAGGTGAACTACCTCTCCCATAATTCACTATCAATTCCTCCCAACCCCCTCCAGTATTTTCTATTGGTCATTAGGGTTCTGTGTGCCAAGTTTGGTCCTGGTCTGTATTTCGGGGGGGGGGGAGTCTCAGTGGTCTCTGGAAGTCAGAGCTGCATCGGTTGAAGGTACTTCACATCCCATCATCCGTTGCCCACACTCCCCCAAACATATTGTTTTTGTGATTAATCACTATGCTTTAATTATGTTCAATTTGTAACAATGAAAATACATCCTTCATATCAGACATTTACATTACATTTCATAACAGTAGCAAAATTACTGTTATAAAGTAGCAACGAAAATCTGGTTGGGGGTCACAACAACATGAGGAACTTTATTTAAGGGTCACGGCATTAGAAAGGTTGAGAACCACTGGCCTAAAGGATATCTTCCAACTTTTATTAGTATTAATGTTATTGTTGTTGTTATTGAGGCTGGGTGGCCATCTGTCAGGGCTGCTTTGAGTGTGCTTTCCCTGTATGAAGGCAGAATGAAGGGGGTTGGACTAGATGGCCTTTAGAGCTCCCTTCCAACGCCATTATTAATATTAATAAGACTAGATAGCCATTTGTCGAGAGTGCTTTGATTGTGCTTTCCCCGCAAGAAGGCAGAATGAAGGGGGTTGGACTAAATGGCCTTTAGAGGTCCCTCCCAACTTTAGGATTCTGTGAAAGGAATCTTTGTCGAACATGAGCCAGTAGTATGATGCTGCAGCTAAAAAGGCCAATGCTGTTTTAGGCTGTGTCAATAGGAGAAGCCTGAGAAAAGGCAAAAGGGAACTGATATGACACTTTACCTTGGCTGGTTTTTATAATTGCTTTAAATGAGAATTATTTCATGCAACAGTTTATTTTAACTTATTGCCAGCATGATGTAAAGGACCCAGAGTATAAATGAAATTCAAGGGAGAAAGAGCAACTGTAATGTACAATGTAAGGTACAATGTCCCTCTCATGGGAACCTGCATGTCATAAGCATTTGAATTAAAATTACCATCTTGAATTCAAATCTGATTTTTATTTTTTATTTAGTGTGCATTGGAAGAGGGGTGGTCTTATACGGCGAGTATATCCCAAACTCTATATTTTAACTGAAAAAAATGGGTCTTATACGCCCAGTCGTCTTATATGCCGGAATATACGGTATGTTAATCCCACAAACTAACATTACATTTTTATTTATACAGATTATCATCATCATCATCATCATCATCATCATCATCATTACAGAATTATAAACTGATATCGGTGTAGGTGATAGTATGATAGCTGGGTCCGGGTGCTCGGATTGTTACGCACATTCCACAACTACCGTTATGAATAAGGAAAGGGGAGGGCGGCACACAGAGGGCAGGAATATACTTCAATTTGGTGGAAAGATCAAAATGAGAGGAGGGTTAGGATAAAGTTTAGAGTAAGGTTTAGGATTTGGAGTAGAGTAAGGGTTAGGATTAGGGTTAGAATTAGGCGTAGGGGTTAGGGTTAGGGTAAGATTTAGGGTTTGGGTTAGGATCAGGGTTTGAGTTGGGATTAAGCTTAGGGTTAGGGTAAGGTTTGGGGTAAGGTTTAGGTTTTGGGTAAGGGTTAAGGTTTTACCATTAAAGAATTCTTACATTCCTTCTATAATATCGGTATTCCATTCTGTGTTGCGCAAACAACACTCCCAATGGAGCGAAGCGGAAACAGTGTAACGCTCAGTGCTTCCGGACCCAGCTTTCATACTATTACCTTCCTAACAGCCGGTGCAGAAGTCCAAAACACCTGGAGGGCCGAAGTTTGCCTATGCCTGGTGTATACATTATTGATTGATTGATTGATTTCTGGTATTTCTACCCTGTCTCTTCTCTACTCCTGGAGGTGGGCTCAGGATGGCTTATATTTGGCAACGATTCGATGTCGCTACATATAAACAATTACAATAATTTATTGTCGAAGGCTTTCATGGCCGGAATCACTGGGTTGTTGTAGGTTTTTTCGGGCTATATGGCCATGTTCTAGAGGCATTCTCTCCTGACGTTTCGCCTGCATCTATGGCAAGCATCCTCAGAGGTTGTGACCTCACTACCTCTGAGGATGCTTGCCATAGATGCAGGCGAAACGTCAGGAGAGAATGCCTCTAGAACATGGCCATATAGCCTGAAAAAACCTACAACAACCCAATTACAATAATACAAGAACAATTAAAATACATTAAGCATTAATTAAAACAATAAAACATTATGGGGGGATACGACTGCACACATTGTGCCCTTGCCATTCAATACAGAAGCTATTTCTTTGTCGCACACACAACTTCAAGGCTCCCTTTTGCTTCCCTTTCAATGACATTTCTGCCTGACATTTCCTCCAGGAGTGAGACTGCGGGCAAAGGGCCCATTTCTCCGCTCTCTAGCAAGACACTCACCCAGAAGCTCCTGAGTCCTGTGCAGAAACCTGCCCCGCATCTCCCGAGGCGGGCAACGCAGGACCCCTCGGGAGACACCGCTGCCCAGCCACAGCTTGGCCGCTCCTCTGCTGCAGCGGATGAGCCACAAGGAGGCCGCCATCTTTCCCTCTCCCGCCGCCCTCCCGCCGGGGCTGTCTATCGCACTGCCTGAGAGGAAAAGGCACCGAGGGGCTGGCCTCCCTTCCGCCTGCATAAAACTCACCCTCCACGCTAGACTCTGTGTGCAGTGGGGACACTGTCTCCCCGGCATCCGAGAAGCCAAACATTTTCCTCTCATTGAAGGAGGCTTCCTGTACTATAAGTTACTATGTATACACAATGGTATCGCAATACCATGCCAGGCAAAATGATAACAACCAACAGGTGAAGCTTCCCCAACACTATTTCTCTGCTGAAAGAATCACAGAGTTGGAAGAGACCTCATGGGCCATCCAGTCCAACCCCATTCTGCCAAGAAGAAGGAAAATTGCATTCAAAGCACCCCCGACAGATGGCCATCCAGCCTCTGTTTAAAAGCTTCCAAAGAAGGAGCCTCCACCACACTCCGGGGCAGAGAGTTCCACTGCTGAACGGCTCTCACAGCCAGGAAGTTCTTCCTAATGTTCAGATGGAATCGCCTTTCTTGTAGTTTGACAGCGTTTCTCAACCTGGGGGTCGGGACTCCGGGGGGGGGGGGTCGCGAGAGGGAGTCAGAGGGGTCGCAAAAGACCACCAGAAAACACAGTATTTTCTGTTGGTCATGGGGGTTCTGTGTGGGAGGTTTGGCCCAATTCTATTGTTGGTGGGGTTCAGTATACTCTGATTGTAGGTGAACTATAAATCCCAGCAACTACAACTCCCAAATGTCAAGGTCTGTTTTCCCCAAACTTCACCAGTCTTCACATTCGGGCATATTGAGTAAATACCAAGTTTAGTCCAGATCTATTATTGTTTGAGTCCATAGTGCTCTCTGGATTTAGGTGAACTACAACTCCCAAACTCAAGGTCAATGCCCACCAGGCCCTTCCAGTATTTCCATGGGAGTTCTGTGTGTCAAGTTTGGTTCAATTCCACCATTGGTGGGGTTCAGAATGCTCTTTGATTGCAAGTGAACTATAAATCCCAGCAACTACAACTCCCAAATGTCAAGGTCTGTTTTCTCCAAACTCCACCAGTCTTCACATTTGGACATACTGAGTATTTGTGCCAAGTTTGGTCCAGATCCATCATTGTTTTGAGTCCACCGTGTTCTCTGGCTATAGGTGAGCTACAACTCCCAAACTCAAGGTCAATGCCCACCAGACCCTTCCAGTATTTCCATGGGAGTTCTGTGTGTCAAGTTTGGTTCAGTTCCATCGTTGGTGCGATTCAGAATGCTCTTTGATTGTAGGTGAACTATAAATCCCAGCAACTATAACTCCCAAATGACAAAATCAATTCAATATCTCATCACTCTAGAGAATGAATCCACTTTAAATCCTATTGTTGCAGGATGTCCCCCCAAAACATAGTTTTGCAGTTTAAAAAACCGTTTCCATGTGTTTATGATAGACCCAAATGGCATTTATAACCCAGGAACACAAATCGTATTCTATAGTGTAATGCTGTGTTTCCCAAACGCTGGTCTGCCAAGCGTTTTGGACTTCATCTCCCAGAATTCTTACTCGTTGCCCAAGGCAGCTGAGGCTTCTGGGAGTTGAAGTCCAATAAACTTTTAGCACTATAGCCTGGGATTCGCCTATGCAACTGCGTCAGGAGCAGGAAAGGGCCGGGGTCTTCCTTCTCCTTCCCTTTTTCAGCAGCCCAATAGGAGGAAGGAAGGGCAGCTGCTGAAACCTAGCTCTATGGCTGAAGCCCGGGGGGACTGCAGCTGTCCCTGCAGGAACGGCTGGGAGAACGCCAAGGTAACGAGAAGGAACTTGTTTCGGTCTCCTTTCGGTCCATGCAAGCTGGGGAGAGAGGGGCTTCATCATGAATTATAAACTTGTGTCCTGTGTTTTAATCTCTGTTTCTGTGTATTTTAGTATGTCTTAATATGTTTTAATATGTATCTTTTATAGAAATACATTTAATACATGCATTTATAGAATATTTACAATGTTTAAAGGTAAAGGTTGTCCCCTGACTTTAAGTTCACTTGTGTCCAACTCTTTCCAAACATGCCATGTTGCTGACATGCTTTTTTAGACGTGTATTGTTTCAAAACTCCATTTCTAAGCAAAAGAGCCGGCGTTGTCCATAGACACCTCCAAGGTCATGTGGCCGGCATGACTGCAAGGCGCGCCGTTACCTTCCCGCCGGAGTGATACCTATTGATCTACTCACATTTGCATGTTTTCAAACTGCTAGGTTGGCAGAAGCTGGGGCTGACAGCGGAAGCTCACGCTGCTCCCCGGATTTGAACCTGCAACCTTTCGGTCAACAAGCTTAGCAGTTTAACCGACTGCGCATTGTTTATGCATTGTAATTATGCTGTAACCTGCTCCACCCACGAGGAGAGGCAAGTAACAATAATAAAATCATTATTATGAAATTGTGCCTTTAGAATGATTAAGACCTGTTGCCACATTTGGCCTTTAAAAAAAAAACCTCTGGAGATCAGTTTGAAAAATCAAGGAACTTTGTAGTAGTATTGCTCTCTTTCAAGTCCCCCATTAATTTTCATAGGATTTCCATAATAGACAAGGGATACTCAAAAGGGAGTTTGGTTCCCTCTGAAATATATCTTAGTCTATTCCAGCTTTCCAAACATGTCATGTTTCTGACACACTTTTTATTGTTTTAAAACACAGCTTTACTAGCGAACAAGAGGTTAAAGTTCAAAACAGGCAATGTTTTGAACTAGGTTATATCTGTTTTGAACTAGATTATATGAGTTTACACTGCCATATAATCCAGTTCAAAAGGGTGTAGATGAACTACAATTCCCAAAAAATCACGGGCTAATCACCTCAAACCCTGCCAGTATTGGCCAAGTTGGGTCTGTATGTCAAGTTTGGTCTAGATTCGTCATCGGCTGGGTTCATTGCTCTCTGGATGCTGGTGAACTATAACTCCCGGATTCCAATATCAATCTTCCCAAACCCCATTAGTATTCAAAGTTGGCCAAGTTAGGTCTGTATGCCAAGTTTGGTCCATATTTGTCATCGGTTGGGTTCAGTGCTATCTGGATGCTGGTGAACTATAACTCCCGGATTCCAAAATCAATCTCCCCAAACCCCATTAGTATTCAAAGTTGGCCAAATTAGATCTGTATGTCAAGTCTGGCACATATTCATTGTCGATTGGGTTCAGTGCTGTCTGGATGCTGGTGAACTATAACTCCCGGATTCCAAGGACAGTCACTACCAAATCCCACCAGTATTCAGTGTTGACTGTGTTAATTTTTATGGTTTTATGGGCCAAACATTCAACTAGTAAACCTGTAGATACCACATAAAATCGGGGAGTGCCCAATGGGGTAACACTCCCCCTTAAGACACAGGTCCACACTTTGGGGGTCCTCCTGGACTCAGAACTGACACTTGACACTCAGGTGTCGGTGGTGGCAGGGAGGACCTATGCACGATTGAAGCTTGTGCACCAACTTTGATCATACCTCGAAAAGCCAGAACTGGTCACGGTGGTCCATGCTTTAGTTACATCTCGTATGGATTACTGCAACGTATGGATTACTGTAATGTAGGGCTACCTCTGAAGATGACTCAGAAGCTCCAATTAGTACAAAGATTGGCACCCAGGTTGCTGACGGGGGTGGGTTATACAGATCATACAACTCCAACCCCCCACCCCCCAAGCAGCTTCACTAGTTGCCTATTTGTTTCTGGGCCCAATTCAAAGTGCACGTTAGTACCTAAAAAAACTCTGCAGGGCCCAGGTCCTGCCTATTTACGTTACCACATCCTCCCATATAAATCTGTTTGGGCCTCACGATTGGCTGAGGAGGCCTTCCTCTCGGTCCCACCTCCTTCACAAGCGAGGCAGGCGGGGATGAGGGAGAGAACCTTCTCAGTGGTGGCCCCCCAGGGACTTGAGGACCTGGTTATTTAAACAGGCTTTTGATAGTGATTAGTCAATCTCTAGGATATGGACTTAGTAGCAAGCAGCAAGCCCCTTTTAGCTCATAGGAATGAGTGTGTTTTTAATCTAATGTTCATAATTTTATTGTTAATTTTTGTGACTTGATTGTTCTGTATTTTGTGTTTTATATCGATGGATGTGTTATTGTTTATTCCATTTTATGATTTTTATTGTATTGCACTTATTGTATATTTATATTGTAAGCCACCCCGAGTCCCCTGAGGAGAGGGAGCGGGATATAAATAAACTTTATTATTATTGAAATCCAGACTATCTGCTTTTATGATTTTGATTACCTTCCTAAATGCAGGTTGACAATAACAGATTGGCAGGTAGTTGATGATTCTCTTTTGAGGGCCTAATGAAACACTAGATTAAATGTATGCTGGGAAAAACAGTGCTTCATACTGTTGTTCTGCACCTTCACATCATTTCCAGCTTTGTTTACCACTTCAACTGCCATGGCACAATGCTATAGAATCATAAGAGTTTTAGTTCCATGAAACACAAGCACTATTTGGTAGAGAAGATGAAACTGCAACTTCCATGATTCCCTAGCATTGAACCATAGCAGTTAAAGTGGGGTCAAACTGTGTTAATTCTACAGTGTAGATACAGCCTTAGACTAATCTATCACAGGGTTTTCTGAGGTCAAAAGTGTCACCCAATGGGTTTCATGGCTAAGTAGGGAACTGAACAGGATCTTCAGGGTCTTGGTTCAACATTCAAACTACTACACCATTGATTTTGTCATTTGGGAGTTGTAGTTGTTGGGATTTATAGTTAACCTACAATCAAAGAGCATTCTGAACTCCACCAATGGTGGAATTGAACCAAACTTGGCACACAGAACTCCTATGACCAACAAAAAATACCAGAAGGGTCTGACGGGCATTGACCTTGAGTTTTGGAGTTATAGTTCACCTACATCTAGAGAGCACTGTGGACTCAAACAATGATGGATCTGGACCACACTTGGCACGAATATTGAATATGCCCAAATGTGAAGACTGGTGGAGTTTGGGGAAACTTTGGAGTTGTAGTTGCTGGGATTTATAGTTCACCTAAAATCAAAGAGCAATCTGAACCCCACCAACGAAAGAATTGGGTCAAACTTCCCACACAGAATCCCCATGACCAACAGAAAGTACTAGAAGGATTTGGGAGGAATTAACCCAGTGTGAATTTACTTCAAGCAGAGACACTTTTTGTATAAGCTATCTGGCATGATATAAGAGTCTAGAGTTGCTGACTTTATCAACTCCTGAGGAAGGGGATTGCTTTCCCCGAAACAGGGTACAAAAATACCCGGGCACCTCTGTTGAATGCCGTTTGGACTTTTCCTCTGAAGACTTATTTTGAGAAGCAGTGCTCCATTTTCACTGGACTTGAGTTGGATCTTTTCCATGAAGATTGTTTTGAGAGTGGCGCTTCATCCTCATTATTGTCTTCAGTTTACATATAGCCTCATGACTCAGTGCTTACTTTGTTTATATGACTTTTCTTATTGTATGTATCCCTGAAGCCTATATACAGTGGAATCCTTATCCAGACCTAGAACTGTTACGTTTGAGAGCGGCTGCTCCTTTTGATTTCTGTGTACCACTGAATTGAGCTATGTACTGGGGATTTTGGTAAATGGAATACTATATGCTCTTTTGATAATACACTTTGACATTACGCATAGATTGTTTTGTGTTTGTGCTGATACCTTACAAGTACTCTGGGATATTGTGTAGTAGAGCAGAGGTTTCCCAAACATTTCATGTTGATGGCACACTTTTTATTTATTTATTTATTGCATCATTTCATGACACAGTAATTCAACTTTCCTAGCAAGCCAGAGGTTAAACCAACCTCTTGTAAGAGACATGGACACATACGTAAATTGTAATAAGGTATGGAGACACAACATACTTAATTAAAACCTTTCAGTTATATTTTTCTCTATATATATGATTTATTGCTTATTACACATAGACTCGGACATTTCTTGTTACGTTTGCACGACACACCTACACACTACAGCCACACACTAAGGTGTTGTAGCACATAGTTTGGAAAGCTCTGGCATAATTGTAAATAGCCAAGGGAATAAGGTCTGTCTGTGTACAGAACCAGTGGATTGAAAACACATCTGAAGTTAGAGTTTTGAAATGTTAGTCATTCCTCTACAGATAGATTCCTTTATTGATTAGCCCTCTGATCAACAGTAAAAGACAATAGACAAGTATGCAAAGACACAATAAAGAAAAATATCCCTATCCAAGCACTCCTGTAAAAGTTTGCTAAAATACATTTAGGCACCTAAAACTTGATTAAATAATAAATTTTATAGAATCAGATTAAATTAAATTACAAAATGATTTTAAATAAGTTTGTCGCCATGACAAGAGACCCCGTTTTGGTCAGAGAAAAAGATCTCTCAGGTGGGCAGCTTTTATAATACATGCAGCTATGTAGCCGACTGAGTGTAGATAATCCCCAGAAAGAAAATAGGACAGTTTGGCCAGTTGGTTGTTCTAACCAAAAGAGGTTGTCATTCCTTTACATAGTTTACTTCTGGTCACTAGTTTTCTAATAACCGAAATGCCACTTGTTCTGCAATTACTGTACTTGCTGTTAAACCCATGATGAGTAAAGTTCCCTCTACTAAGGGTCTGTTTGTACACTTGGAATGCACATCAGATTTGCTTGTGTTTTGTTATAATTTAAGGCATTTGTACAAGTTAGCTGGACTTCCCTTGAAATATTAGAGCAAGTTTGCCATTTTTTCCCCATCACTATACCCCAATCCTGTTGGTGTAACAGTAATTCTGTAAATCCCTTGTGAATCCTTTTGCAAATATCTGCTATTATGCTGATATTTAACATAAATTGAAACTCATTTGGAAGAAGTTCTGGTGCAGTGAAACTTGCTTTGAGCTTATGCAAATATAAATCATTTTTCTTTGCAGCAAATAGCATGTATAAAGCTGGACTAATATGTAGTAATATGAAAGGTTTCAAAGGGAATTTGATTTTTATAGTCAAATCCAGATTAGCAATGATTCACAACATTAACTTGTGTAAATCTGCATAGCTGCATTGTGTTCAATCGAGGTACTCCCATTTACATTAACAGGAAAACTGCCCTGGAGTGTTTTGTTGGCATCTGCTAAGATGTGGTAAATGAAGAATGACAAATTGCAGTTGTTAATGGTAATTTCAGCAGAACTCCATTTAAAAGCTATCTTTTAGCTCTGTTACTGATGGCAGGTTTACCCTACCAAGTGGAATGAATTTCAGAAATCTAATTTATTTTTCTTCGGTCCAAATGTAAATACTTAGGATTCTTTAAAGTAGTCCTTTTATGAGAAAATGTATAGTAGTTGAGGTCTAATGAAACATTTAATGTGAAGCATCTACTGTGCATACTAAGATGCTGAGCAAAGTTTGTAGAGTTCTCTGTATATATATATATATATATATAGAGAGAGAGAGAGAGAGAGAGAGAGAGAGAGAGAGAGAGAGAGAGAGTTTCCATCTGCTAATTCCGAGGTTCCAAAAGTAGATGGCTTCTATTTTTGTTATAATTTTAAGGTGCTAGCCTGGACTACATACATATTCTTTTCTCATCCACATTTTCCTCTCCATAACATTCCCAATAAAGCCTGAGCTGGCATTTGAACCAAGAGGTGTTTCGCTTCTGCCATTTGGTGTCCCTACTTTATCTATTACCAGAAATATCCATATATCATAAAATAATAAATATAATAAATATATAATACATCTGGGCAGAGCCTAGACTGAGGGGGCAGTGTGACATTATTTGGACCTTCTCATCACAACCACCATTTTTGTAATCTACATTTAACATTTTGCTCATGTTTTAAGAAGAAATATGTCTGGTGTTGACTTCTTTAGAATTGAATTGGATAATTAAATAGAAAGCATTCTTAGCAGATTTGCAGAGGACAAATTTGGAGAAACAATATCAGAACTCAAAAGACCTTGAGAGATTGGACAGTTGGGCCAAAATTAATAAAATTATTATCAGCAGGTAAATAAAAAATATTACATCTAAGCTGGGAAAATTAAAATGTACAAATGTAGTATAGGTAATACCTAGAATAAGAGCTATACATGTGAAAGGAATCTAGCGGTCTTAATAGACAGTCAGCAGTGAGATGTAGTAGGCAAACAACTGGATGGACTTCTGAGCATCAATATGAACAGAGTGCCAAGGTTCAGGACAGTCGTAATGTCACTCTGTTCTGCTTTACTCAGACCTCATGTGTCCAGTTCAAGACGGATATTGACCAGCTTGTATATATCCAGAAAGGGCAATCAAGATGATAAAAGGTCTGGAAAGCAAACTTTATGAAGAGTGACTAAAGGGTCTGGGCAAGTTTAGCATGAAGGAGAAGACTGAAATGGGACACATAGCTATCTTTAAATATCTGAAGGAATGTCATGTACAAGCAGAAGCTAGCTTGTTTTCTGCTGCTCCACATACTAGAACACAAATCAAGAGTCAAATTACAAGAAAAGTGATTCCACCTAAAGATTAGAAAGAATTTATTTACTGTTAAGAATTGTTCTTCAGCGAAATTGACTGCTTTGGAGGATGGTGGTCTCAGCTTGGGAGGTCTTTAAGCAGAGGTTGGATGATCATCTATCAGAAGTATTTTAGCTTTGTTTTCTTATATGGCAGGCAGTTGGACTTTCCAGCTCTTACGATTCTATGATTCCATTTATGTAATTGTACTTTTGTGTCACTAATGAAAGGGACTAACTGCAAGTAACAAGTTAATTTGAAGCTCTGAGTAGACCTTGTGTGAAGAGTACAGGAGGCATATGCCAAGTTTTCTTTCTAGATAAGTGTGTTCAAGAAAGCATGGTGTACAGCCAACCTTTATTTCCAAGCATAAGAGGTTCCTTTTTTACAAAGTATTTCTGTACTGTCTTCAACTTTTCCTCCATATCCTCTGTCAGCATTGGAAAGATGGTGAAGGAAGGCTGGAGAAATGCAGACTGTCAGTGATGTATGTAGTAGTGTGTCTGTAGAACATGGTGGAATACAAGCTTGACATGGGAAAGAATAGGATTCTACTCAACAGCAAAATAGAAAGCAGATAAGTCTGCAGCACCAGCAGTGATTTTTTGAAGCATAGTTATATAAGGTTGGCCCTTAAAATGGGAATCCTAACAAAAATGGAGGCTGTTGAAATGAAAAATCTATATACATTTGGAAGAAGTTTACAAAGAGTCTTCTTTTTCTTTTCTTTTTCTTTTTCTGTTAACTTCTGCAAGGCGTAGGAGATCTGGTTGCTTTTATTTCACATGTCTTTTTATTCTGGTCTTAAAACTTATTCCAAATTTTCTGTTAAAGTGGTAATGCCCCTTTTTTAGCTCTTTAATAAGTCCATACTTTTCTAAGTGAGGTATGTCCATACAGTGGGAAGAGAACTAGCAGGAACATTTCACTGTTCTGTATAGAAAAAACAAATGTATTGCCTGCCAATCCAATTGTTTTTAAACCAAGGTGCCTATATATATATATATGCATATTTTTTTTCAGTTATTCAATTAAGGATATACATTTAATCAGCAACAAACAATTGTTCTGAAGAAAGGCATTTGGGAAGTTTTCTTCTTCTAAGATAAGGTAGAAATTATGTTTCTCTCATAACAAAGCCACACATCTATAAAAATAATAAACTTTTAAAAATCTCCCCAATTAGCCAGAAATGCCTTTTTTATTCAACTGTTCTTGTTAATTTACTAAACACTGCAGCTTTCAATAAATAAATCACTATTTTTTCAATACTTTTTGTTCCTTCTACAGGACAATGTGCATCCCAGGAATCTGATCCCAGAGCTTTGTCGGCAGTTTTATCACTTAGGATGGGTTACAGGTACCGGTGGTGGTATCAGCATAAAGCATGGGTGAGTAGTGTTCTTTTGTTATATATATATATTTTTACATTAAAGTACACATAATCAATTTGGAGAGAATGTCATGAATACTTTTTGAACCTTAAAAATGTTCTTTAATCTGTTTTCAGTGGGACAGAGTACATCAGGTGCATTCCTAGAAAGAAATAGAGACACAGAACCAGTACTGGTTTTATAATAGCTATATTGGTTACATACACAAAAGTCAGACGTTGCATATACACAGCATTCACTCACATATATTCACTCATTCATACTCACCAACCTCCAACATTCAGGCCTGCTACTGGAGAAGACAGGTGGATGTATAGACCTACATTCCTCACAGATCAGCCACATTGTTGAAAAGGAAAAGGATAGTGATGTTTGGTTATTGATTACTTGGTTGTTTAGATAACCTCTGCCATTCATCTCAGACCTGCTATAGCCTCATCAATTCCAGAACAGATAGGTTATTTAACTTAAAGAGCTATGGTCTTTGGCTATGTAAACATTTGGTTTTTGCAACCAAGAGCTCAACAGTTGTCAACAGTTTTCTCATTAGCACTTTTCTTGCCAAAGTTAATGAATTCTTCATCTCCTTTGTCCTTCATAATGCCATTTTCCAGGTTCCATTTTTAGGATGCCGCCTTAAGCCTTGCCAGACCTTAATATGCCTCAGCCAGATGCCAAACATACAAATCATTCAATCCACTCATGACAAGAAAGGAGTAGGAAAGCATGAAACACAATGTAGATTTGGGTGAAATCAAGCTGGCTTTTTTCTGGCTCAGTGTCTCTAGAAAAAAAGGCCACATGTGCACCACACGGTCACATGAATTAACTCCTAGTCAAGTGGATATATACCACCTCCACTCCCAAAACCTCTGTGAAGTGATTACTGTGGAGCATGGGACGTTTCCAAAAGTCAATTGATTGTCTCTTGTGTGAACAGAATATTGGACTAAATAAAACCCTTCCTCTCACATCCAGCATATCTCTTTGCGCCTTCTCTTTTTAACGTTATCTCAGGTAAAGATGTTTATGTTCTTGTATCCCTAAAGGAAGCAAACTCACTGAAGAATATAGATAATATCCAACACCTGACAAAATAATGGTTTGATTGGAGGTGCATTACTCAGAGTAGATTTTGTAAAAATACATGTAATGAAATATTTCGCTCCTTTTAACTAAAGCTATGTGAATATTTTTATTTGTGGATACTTGGCTCCTCTTAGTGGTGATAAGAGGAAAAACCATCTACCCTTTTAGTAAAAGAATGTGCCCGTTTAAAATATTCCTAGCTGGATGAAGACACATTATACTGCATATAATTATGCCACAAAGTTTTTATACCTTGACTAGCCAGTCTCTAGATAAAAAGTCCAAGGCCAGTTCAGATAGTTCTAGGGGGGATATTATACATTTCACAATGACTTGATTCAAGATATGATATTTGCCTTTTTTAATACCCTTTTTTGTTTTTTGTAGAAGACAGTCACAAAAAATTAGCATAAATATATTATTATTATTATTATTATTATTATTGTCAAGACCCAGAAGCCTCAGTAAAGCCAAACACAGAGAGTAAAAGGTCCAAACACAAATGTATTGTTCACAACAGAGTCTTTGAAACACTTAAATTCAGTGCCCCAAGCTCAGCCAACAGTTTGGCATCAAAAATAAGGCGATATGAGAAACTGAAATATAACCCGGAGTCCAAAAGACGTTCCAAGGTCGTGGCACGAGGTAGGTGAGTTGAGTAAGTCCAAGAAGCAAAACGTTGTCCAAAATGGTCCAAAGTCAAAACAGTAGAGCAGCAGTCATCATACACAGAATCACAAGAAGAGAAACAGAAATGCTGGAACACAGCAATCTGTAGTCCAAGGACCCAAGCACGAGAGTTGGCAGGAACAAAGATTCACACCCCAAAAGAGACACTTTGCCTTCTGCAAAGATCCATACAATCAAAACCCATTTTTAACCTAAAGCTCCTCATCAGAGGCTGAGGAGCTCCCCACCCTTTCATCATCGCTTTCAGCTGCCCCATTCCCCACAGCTGAACCTGAGCACCCATCCCTCTACCTCTACCAGCGTCTGTCAAGACTTAGATCTTGCAAAGTGCTTCCCGGTTGCCATTCTCCAGTAAACCCCTCAAAGTCCTTGCTGGAGGTGGGTTGATTACAGATATCCCTAATTTCTTGTACACGGGTCCAATCCAGCTCATCCTCCTCCCCCGTGTCACTCCCAGACCCATCACTCCCTTCAAACCCCATGAAGTCCTCGTCCTCTGTAGAAGCGCTAAGCATATCACGGATACGCTTCCTTTGAATCTCCTCGTCGGACTCTTGTTCGCGAGTAGCTCGCTTAACTCCCCTGCTTTCCTCCCCATCCCCCATTTCACAGTCGGAGAAGCCCTCAAAGGTTTCAGAATCACTCGGAGCCATAATTATCTATCTAATCCGATTTTGCTGCTGCTCCTCTTCCAACACCTGCACAGCCCTCTTCTCCCTTCTACCAGTAGTAGCAACGTTACCATCACCCTGAACTACAACAATTATTATTATTATTATTATTATTATTATTATTATTATTATTATTATTATTAAAAACATTTATATTCCACCCTTCCAGGGGTGTGCTCAGGACAGAGCACAACATATATACGGCAAATATTCAATACTGGGACATAAAACTATAAATATACACAAATATTAAAATAACTTACATCTACTTTAAAATCAGCTGTTTTAAACCATCTCAAGACACCATGCTGGCTCTCGTCAGCGCAGTAGGTTTGCTATTATTGCCTCATTGCAGTGCCCCAAAGGCTTGGTCCCACAGCCAGGTCTTACATAGTATATTGGCAGACAATAACTATAGTATATTGGCAGACAATATACATGACCATTTTAGTGGAAAATTTAAGTCATATAAATATGGTTTGCAGTCTCTTGTGGTTTCTGATTTGTTTACTCTTACCTTGAAAATGAGTGTAAAGAAGTCACAAACATGCAATTGCAACAATGTAATAATCAATTATCTATTACTGTACAGTTGGCCCTCTGTAGCCATGTATTCTGTATCCACAGATTCAAGTATCCACTGCTTGAAAATATTCAAAATAATTTCCAAACATAAAGCCTTGATGTTGCTATTGTAGTACCCCTTTGTATATAATGAGACTTGAGCACCCACAGATTATTTTTTTTGTATCCATGAAGGTGTCTGGAACCAAACCCCAGCCAATACCAAGGGCCCAATATATTTTGAAACTTAAAAAGTGGTTGATATAATAATTGAAGCAATAATGGAAATTCCAAGGAATGTTTTTTATTCCTTGGAATTTTCCTTGGAATTAGAAAATTATTCTAATTCCTTCTATTCCTTGGAATTAGAAAATTATTGAAATTTCCACTTTAATAAATTGATTATCATTTCTTTATCACAGTTTTGTATCCATAAGAAGTAGAAAATTTGGTATGCATAAAATAAGATATGCTTATTTTAAAATAATTAGCAGCAATTTGTACCCTGTTATTTGGTCTGCAAAACACACACATAAGCTATACCAAATTTAATTTTGAAGCAGCAAGGTGGCAGAAGCAAACCCCCCCCCCCCCCAATTTTAGATTATTGTTGTCATGACAGTGTTTTGCATCACTGATTAAAATCATTAACCTTTTTTAAAAGGAGAAGTTCTTATATATAGTGTAGTAGTCTGATAGACTTGATACCTTAACTGAAATCAATTACTGCATGTCATAAACTGTACTAACTAACATAGTCTGAAAGCTCCCTGGTCTTAACAATCATTTCCTGAATCTAGTATTTTTGCATATGTGAAAACATACAGTAAGACCCTGCATCACAGCCATCCTTGCGAATGTGTAACTACATCTTATTTCCTGTCTAGGCTCACCAAACCTCCTTAAAAGCCTTAAAAGTCAAGTGATGGAGGTCTGCTCTACTGGGGATCAGTCAGAGCAGGATGACACTTCTGTCCCCCTCCCATCAGCAGTCTTTTGGTGTGACACTTAGGCCCTTTCTACACTGCTATATAATCCAGATTTTCTGGATTGCATGAGTCTACACTGCCATATAATCCAGTTCAGATAATCTGAAGTTTATATAGCAGTGTAGAAAGGCACCTTAGAAGCTGAATCTCTATTGCAACTCCTTGTAGCACCAGAGATCACTGGTGGGAGCAGGTGGAAACTTTTTCCTGCTGAACTCCAGTCACCAGGAGAATAGTTCTCCATTGCTCAATGTGACTACTGCCTGCAAAGGTAGGTTTGGGGGCACTGATAATTGTGGCAAATAGAGATAATAGGGTTTTATTTCTGTGGGGCATAGCACTAAACAGGGTCCTCTTCAAATCCAAATGCTATATCCATCAAACCAAAGGATATGAAATAGGTTAGGTACAAATATGTTGCATAAGTGATGTATGGAGTAACTTGCATTAAGAACGTGTGCATTCAGAACTCGTTTAAAATTCTGAACATTTCCCCACAAATATTCTATCAAGGTTTTTATTTTTATCTCTGAAAACATGTCACTGCAATGCTAGTGGAATGTTATTTATAAATGGAAATAACCCCCTCCACAAACCCCATTTTTACTAGAAACATAATGCTGCCTTTGTCTTCAAACACAGGGAAAGTTGGTTTAGCTGATCCAGTTAGCCGCTAGATGGCTCTGCTCTGCATGTTTGCAGGGAAGCATTCCAAAGTTCAGCATACCACAACAAAATCCAACATATTCATATATTGTGGTTCTAGACTTCCTTAAATCCACCAAGAAACACAAAATAACATTACAATAGCTTTTGAAGCTTTTTTGGCCCCTTTTTGTTGTCTGGGAAAAGGAATCACAATGTGATATGTATTGAGAGCTTTAAAATTGTATTACTTTATTTCCTTTAAGTTTGTTCTTCATCTTGGGACCCATACAGGGAGAAAGGCAGGGTATAAATAAAATTGGCCTTAAGTAGCTTTGCTTTACTTTAGCTGATTTGGATCTGTGGGTTTTGTTAAATTAACTTGACAATATCATATTTTTGCCTGTGCAGATAAAATGATTAGCATGTTTGGAATATACAGGGTAATCACAGTGTTGTGTAGTAATTGAATATATGTTATATAGAGCATTTTGTTGAGTAACTATAGAGTAACAAAAATAATCACATTCAAACTGTTCTGATGCTTGCTGTTCTAGGGCCTATGGCAGTAGGTTAACTGCCACTGCTGACAAGCATCACTGTGAGAAAAATATTCTTGGGTATCCTATTGTGTTTTCAAATTAAGCCAGATGCTTTCTGCTGCTTTCTACATGTTACTAAAATTCTGGTTTCTCCCTGCAGCGATGAGATATATATTGCTCCCTCTGGTGTCCAAAAAGAAAGAATCCAGGTATGTACATGTCGCATTTGAATACCAGGGTGCATCATAGCATTAATACATTTTGATATCATTTTAATGAAGTTCCGGGGGCTGTAGTTTTACAAGGTCTTTAGCCTTGTCTGCTAAATAGTGCTGGTGATGTGCCAGACTACAAAGAAGTTTCTGAAACTTAGTGTTTGTTTGTTTGTTTGTTTTTCTTTCCTTGCTGTGACTGGTGGTAGGTTTCAGTTCTAAATGGTCCTTCTTGTTAATGGCTCTGAAATGGTTCAGGTCCAGCCTATCTTCATGACCGCATCTCCCCCTATGAACAGGTGCGGGTTCTAAGATTTGCCGGGGAGGCCCTCCTCTTGGTCCCGCTTTGTCTCAAACACAGTTGGTGGGGACAAGGGAGAGGGCCTTCTTGGTGGTGGCCTCCTGGCTCTGGAATGCACTCTCCAGGGAACCTGGGCAAGCCCCCACACTGCAGCACTTTCGGAAAGAGTTAAAAACTTGGTTGTTGTAGGTTTTTCAGGCTATATGACCATGTTCTGGAAGCATTCTCTCCTGATGTTTTGCCTGCATCTATGGCAGGCATTTTCAGAGGTTGTGAGGTCAGGAGAGAATGTTTCTAGAACATGGCCATATAGCCTGAAAAACCTACAACAACCCAGTGACTCCAGCCATGGAAGCCTTCGACAATGCAGTTAAAAACTTGTTTTTTTCAGCAGGCCTTTGATAACATTTAAAGCAGTAGCTAGACTGATTGCCAATTACTTTAACACTTTATGTCTACATTCTGATTGGTTTACATCTGGAACGCTAAATCGATTGTATGGATCTTTTAAAATCAATTGCTTTAGCCACATTTTACTGATTTTATTTAATAGAGGTAGATTTTGTTAATTTTATATGTCTGGTTTTATGTAAATGTGTTATTGATTTTATATGTCGGTGTATTGCATTTTATGTGTTGTATGGCACCATCGTATGCTGTTTTGTGAGCTGCCCCAAGTCCCTATGGGAGATAGGGCATAAATAAAGATTATTATTATTATTATTATTATTATTATTATTATTATTATTATTAAATGTAATAGTTAATAATCCTTATCCAAAGCAAAAACTGAAAAGGACATACACTGCCATATAATCTAGTTTAGTGCAGTCAACTTCATTCTGAAACTGTATTATATGGCAGTGTAGATGAGGCCTTAGAGATGATGCCGACAATGTATTTTCCTAGATTGTATGCCACCCTCTGTGTACGAAGCACATATTCCATATGGAAGTATATCTTTGTGTGGTTCCTGCTATGAACAGTGTTACTGCATAGAGACCTTTTGAAAGCCATAATATCCACTTATCACTGGGATAGGCAACTACATTTGGTAAAGGGGCCAATTTTCTGTCTCTGAAATTAGTGTGGACTGCCAAGGAGAAAACAAACCTAAAACTGGAAATAACCAGATCAAATTTTTGTTTTGAAAATGAGGTTAGATAGATAGATAGATAGATAGATAGATAGATAGATAGATAGATAGATAGATAGATTATTAAGCAGTGCAACAGGGATAGTACAACCTATTTACAGGGTGGCCTGCTCTTTTTGCAGGCTTTGAGTAGAAGGAAATCAACCTTTTTGCCACAGAAAGGGATCCTGGGGAAATACATGTGGATAGCCAAAGAACTTCCCTTCTGGGGCTGTTTTTATCAATTATGTATGACAAGTTCATGCTGATTTGCTAGATGGCCTTACATATGAAGGTGAAAATGGGTTTATTTATTTTTCCTGTGTTGCTCAGCCTGTTTTCTGTGTTCATTTGGCAGCTGGCAGTAAAGAACCTTATTTGCCATTAAGCCGCTGCCGCTATACACTGTCTGTCTGTGTTATCCTTTGTCTTTGTGTTGGGCTTAGAGAACAGCAACAGCAGCATAGCTGCTTAGGAGTGCAATGCCCCTTTCAGTTGGTGATTTAACAAGGATAGCCAGCTAGAGGAAATGTCACATGGCCACTGTATTCTGCAGTTTCTTACTTGGTGAAATAGCAACTCTTCTACCTCTTTTGGAATGCTGGTAAAGTTTTCTGTACCAGGAAAGTGCACTCTGTGGTTTTCTTTCATGAAAGCATTACTTAAGAATGATTCGGCCCATTATTTCTACAATGGAATAATCTGACTTTAAAGGATTGTGCTGTGCATGTTGGCCCGTAGAAACATTTGCTGTGAACATTGTAATGCACCAAAAGTATGGCTAAAATTGCAAAAGGTAAGGTCCAAAAAAGGTAATGCTTCCTAGAAAGCCAGTATAATGTAATAGTTTGAATGTTAATCCAGGACTCTGGGAGATCACTAGTTGGTCATGGGAACCCACTGGGGTGACCTTGGATAAGTCACACTCTCTCAATCTCAGAGGGCAGCAATGGCAAATCCCCCTCCAATTGAATCTTGCCAAGTAACCTTCGTGCCATTGTCACCATAAACACGAAATGGCTTGAGAGCCCATAACAACACTCCCTAAGAGTATATAATAAGATGCAATCAGTCCTTTAAAAATAGCAACAATAACCTTATAAGGTTTCTGATAACAGTCTTATTGAAATTATAATTCCAGTAAACTTTCTAATTAAGACTGAAATCCTGCCTGGTGGACTTTTCTTTTCAGTTGACTTCTATAGATGGTGCTGCAAATATTTAACCAAGGTTCTTTGTAGTAGTTCTATTTGCATATGTACTAGAATTCAGGTGGATTCTGGGGGATATGAATCTCAGCTTTCATTTGTTTGCCTTTAATCTTTCAAAAGAAAAAGCTTTGAATACTGATGGTTATGCTGAAGTTGCAGTAATGGCAAACAAAGTACACTTCTTACCTGACAAATATTAAAGTCAAGCAACACAGAAAGAGTTGGGATTAAAAACAAAGATAAACTGTATGGCTCCAGCCCTACATAAATACGTATTTGTGAGTATTTTCAGGCATTAGAGACATAGGGGCCCCTATGGAAACAAAAATCGAAATAAAATCATACTATTTTTGTTTGCCCAAAAGAACACTTCTCCAGGCCTTTGTAGATCCTCCTAGAGAATTTGAACATAGAAATGTTTTGGAGGACCTACAAATACCTAGAAAAAGGTGTGTGTTTTTTTTCCCAATCCTGTGTAGGCTAGTAGCAGAGGCAGTGGTAAATACAGCTATTTGCGAATGATCAAATCTGCAAATGCTTAACCTGCAAATGTGTAGGAACAACTTTATTGTGAAATTGCCACCATAACGCCATTTTAACTGCGGCATTAATATTCTATGGTATCTTGGAGTTTTTAACATAAGAGAATTCTCTGGCTGAGAAGGGTAAATATCTAAAATGCAAATTTGGTAGGACTGCCATGTCCTTTAAAGTAGAATTATAGCACTATAAGTATATGATGTCAAAGGACCCATGAGTTGTTTTTTGTTTGGTTTTGTTTTTCTATCAGGGCCACATATTTTCTCAAAGATTAGCAACCATGTAATGTTTTAGTGTTACAAATTAGTTTATAAACATTTGTTTGAAGTGGAAAAAGTATGCATAAGCCTTACTGCAAAATGAGAAGGGTTTTTGTTCATACTGCTAAAAAAAATTCTGAGGGTTCCCTCTACTTTCAAAATGAATTCAATAGCCACATTTGAGCACTGTTCCAAGTTATCTGTCTTGCTTCCCAGATCCTTTGTACTCTGCCATATAATCCAGTCTCTGATCCCAGATTATCTGATTTGAACTGAATTATATGGTGGTATAGACTTATATAATCCAGTTCAAAGATGATAATCTGTGATCAAATACTGGATTAAATGGCAGTGTAGAAAGGGTCCCAGTCCCCTCCTCTGCTGAAGCAGATATACTTCAGATAGGCAGAATATCTATTTATTTTTGTGTGTTTTCACTTTCATTTAAATTGACAATATATTTTTAAAGACTTTAAAAAGTGTTCTAGAGATAAGGATCAAAGGTTAAGCACCTACCTCACAATTGTCAGTTTGGCTTGCTGTGTCAAGGACGAACCAATTTTTCCATAGGTTCATCACAGACATAGATTTATATATCTGTGCAGAATGTCATCCACTTTCTCACTTGTTCACCTGTTTAAACAATACATCTTGTGGCAGGGGAATCCCTCAGTTGCTAATTTGACAGAAAAAAATGTCAACAACTTCTATTTCGTCCCATTGCTTTTCAACTTGTAATAAAATTGGCTATAGACATTTACTTCCAAAATCTTTGCTTCCAAAAATTTTCCTGCCTTCATATTTTCATGAATCACTTCTAAAACTCGTGCTCTGTAACGGTATCTGTAATATTTATGATACATGAGTATGTGTGTATGTTATACTACTGCAGAATATACATAGTATAGTTTGTACCTATGCATGTTTTTTCAATATAGTACCTCTTATGCCAAGTTATTGTTTATACTCAAGTATAAACCAACTCAAATATAAGTGAGGCACCTAATTTTACTACAAAAAACTGGGAAAACTTATTGACTCGAGAATAAGCCGAGGGTGGGAAATGCAGCTACTGGTAAATTTTAAAATAAAACTAGATATCAATAAAATTACATTGAGGCATCAGTAGGTTAAATGTTTTTGAATATTTACATAAAACTGTAATTTAAGATAAGGCTGTCCAACTCTGATTAAACCATTATTCTAACCTTCAATGTAAATGTGCTTACATATCCTTCCAATAATAATAGAATAAAATAATAAATGTAATAAAAATAATAGAGTAAAATAATGTAAACGTAATAATAATAAATAGAATAAAATAATAAATGTAATAATAATAATAATAATGATAATAATAAATTACTTTGTCTCTCTGTGTATGAACCCACACGATCTCTTCAATCATCTGGAGAGGCCCTGCTCACGCTCCCATCACCATCACAAGCGCGATTGGTGGGGACGAGGGAGAGAGCCTTCTCGGGTGGTGGCCCCTCGACTCTGGAACTCACTCCCCAAGGACATTAGGCAAGCCCCAACTCTGGCAGTCTTTAGGAGGAGCCTGAAAATGTGGTTGTTTCAGTGTGCTTTCCCAGAATAACGAAACTCCCAGCAATATGTCCCTAAATGCACTTTAATAATGATTTAAGATTGTCTGCACATTTCTTCTCTCTTCAAAATTTCTATCCCAGTTACATGTCACCTTGTCATGCCCAGCATTATTTTAAAAAAAATTTAATCACTACATTTGGCCCAGCCATAGGTTTTTAAACGCGTTGTGTTATTGTTAATGTTTATTGCTTATTTCTGCTTATGAGTTTATTTATTGTTTTGTATTATTGTTGTTATTGTGTATTGTTGTATTGTGGGCTCGGCCTCATGTAAGCCGCACCGAGTCCCTTGAGGATATGGTAGCGGGGTACAAATAAAGTATTATTATTATTATTATTATTATTATTATTATTATTATTGACTCGAGTATAAGCCGAGGGGGGCTTTTTCAGCCTTAAAAAAAGGCTGAAAAACTTGGCTTATACTCAAATATATACAGTATTGTCTCCAATTCCTTTTTCACAGCCTGAGGATATGTTTGTATGTGACATGGAAGAACGAGACATCAGTGGGCCTCCATCACACAAGAAGCTAAAGAAGAGCCAGTGCACACCACTCTTTATGAATGCTTATACCATGAGAGGTATGCCAAAAGAAAAGTTGATGTATGCATGTATGATGTGTAAGGGGTGGACACTATATCTATGTATTTCATACACACACACACAAACACACATAGCGATCGAGAAAGAGAGTATATATTAAATATTCTTGAAAATATATTATTTTGCTGAAATTGAGATATCTTAATTTCAGTTGTAATGTTACTGAAGCAGAAGCTTTGCTACAGTATTAAGCAAGTATTTCAATTACCACAAAAACATATTTATTTGTTTTGCCTTTTTGTACATCTTAGCCAGCTTGGTATATAGTGGCTAGGATGTAGCCACTCCCCGGCTCTGGAACTCGCTACCCAGGGAGATCAGACAAGCATCCACCTTGGCAGCCTTTAGGAAAAGCCTAAAAACATGGCTTTTGGGATGTGCTTTTGAGGAATGAACAACAAATCCCCATACCATGTCTGTCCCATTACAAACTTGTCCTTCTGATGCACTTTATCCCATCCCTCAGTGAAGATTAACCCCATTGTTTTTCCCATCTGAGTCTCCCACTAGATACACTACTCCATTTACCTATCTCACCCTGGGGTTTTATGATTTTATTCATTGCATTTGGCCCAGCCCACTGTGTTCAATTCTTTTATCATTTTATATTTTATGTTCAGTCTGCACTTTATTTGATGTTATTATCTGTTTTATTTTGCCTTATTGTAATTCCCAGGCTTGTCCTCATGTTAGCTGCCCCGAGTCCCCTTGGGGAGATGGTGGCGGGGTATACATAGATTATATTTATTTTTTTTTATTTATTGGGGGATTGGACCACAGCTGTAGAGACCAGGATTCAAATTTCCATTGATTTTGGAAACCATTAGGGTGAGCTTGGGTAAGTCACATTCTCAGCTTCAGAGGCCAATGCCTTCCTTCTGAGAAAATCTTGCCAAGAGAACCCTGTTCTAATTGTAATGTCCAAATATTTTGAAAATACTTTGAAAATACATAGCAGCAATAGCAGTTTTCAGCAACTTGTTAGATTATTTTTAAAAATCATTGACATTAATTCAATTTTCCATACTCGCTTATAGACTGCACATACTCTATATTATAACAAGTTACTGCAATTTTATATAAATAAAAACTGTCACTATGAGTGTGTCTATGTGTATGCATGCTCTCCAAGTCTAGCTAATTTTTATTGAGTGGGAATATATAAGTAGTGCTGTGGGAAAATCAGTACATAAACTACTAGGTTCAACTAAGGAAAAGGTGGCAAGGAGGCAGGAAGTCTATAGGAAAATCTCACGCAGTGCCTGTGAACATAATGGACTGTGTACACTTAATGGAAATGAGCACAGGGAGCAGAAGATTGGATTTCACAGCTTGATTCTAAGTAAGACAAACTTGCCTGCAGGATTTTCGTGCTAATTATTATGACATAATCCTGTCAGTGGCATCATTAACAAGAGAAGTATCTAGTTGAGAAAACTATTTGTTGGGGTTGTAGTTTCACACTTTTGGACGACTCATCTGCAGATTCAAGTATCCAGAGATGCAGTCATTTACATATTTGAATCTTCAAAGTCTCTGCATTTTTACACCTTACGTTAACAGGGTGTGCTCTTTCAATGCACTTCATGCAAGCCATAGGAGAATTTGGCTGAAGGATAGAGACCATTATTTGTCTCCTTTTCTGTTGTGTTTCTCTTCAATGGTTCCAAATACTGGAAATCATCAACAGTGCCAGCTGCTAATATAGTCATTAATGGTGTGGATAATTTTCTTCAGAAGTGTTGTTTTAATAAGGTCTAAGAAACCGATGGTATATTAACATGCAATATGGCCCTCCGATACCATTTGACCCCCCATACAGGTGCCTTTTAATCTTTCTGCTAATATTTCATGACAGTGCTAGAACTCTTCTTCTGGACAGTATAAAACTTCTTTGATAATGTGTTGCAGAGATATTTGTGAGGAATGTAGAAAACAGCTTCATTATTTGTAATTTGTAGAAGGTGAGCGATTCTTTTTCTCTGAAAAACAGAAAACAGTTTGCTTTTTTAGGAATAAAAATGTTAATAGGTTACCCTTCAATTTATCTATTAACTACAATATTTATGGATGTATGGGTTGATCCCGCTTCTCTAGAAATTTAAAATCTGAAGTACTCAAAACATGAAACTTCCATCTTTGGGGAAAGGGGGTTAGTCACACATCCAGTGTTTTTTCCTCAAGGAGGCCCAGTGGGCCAAAGAGTAGAAAGGGAAATACTTTACTTATACAAGACTACTGTAAAAAGCAAATGTTCCACGCTCTTCCACACTCACTTTCTGACCTAGCAGTGCACAGGTAGGGAACATTCTGTAAACAGCTGCAAGTGCAAAGTGGCCCCATTGACCACTTCTGTATCCAATAGGGGTATTTTTTCCTTCCCTCCCAACTGTTTTATGTTAAGGGCAGAAAATGTGGTGACATCTGGAGGAGCATCTGGTACCTCTGTTTTTATAGGGGCCTTGTATAGACAGAGTCCTCCCTCTTCTTCTATTTTTCCTCCTTGATAAATGTGTGACTAGCCTCCTTTCTCCCATCCCTCATTCACAGTGTGTATGCAAATTCAGGCATTTCAAAAACTGAAAAAATCCAAACACCTTCTGATTCAAAGCATTTTAGATAAAGGAGACTCAACCTGTAGGACATTTATTCTTCCAAAGAAGTACAGAGAAAGGAGCTAATGTTGAATGACACGATTTCAGTACTGTTTCCTTTTTTTAAAAGCGACTATGTGGACATTTTCTCTCTATTTATCCTCTTAGGAGCAGGAGCAGTTATCCATACTCACTCCAAAGCTGCTGTAATGGCAACACTTCTCTATCCAGGAAGTGAGTTTAAAATTACTCATCAGGAGATGATAAAAGGAATCCAAAAATGTACCACAGGAGGATATTTCAGGTAATTTCTTTTTTTAAATTAAATTTTATTAAAATTTACAAATGTGATAAATACACACAGTACACATAACATACATGAGATCCACACTACAACATATAAGATATCCCTTTTGCCCATAACCTACACAAAGTTAACCCTTATCCCACAAATCTGTGCACCCTGCACCTTGACTTCCATCCCTAGTCACTGTGGTGCCTATAACATTACTTATTTACCCTTCTATCATGTTTGCCAATAAATTCCTCTTGGAACTATTGATCATTTACTTCTTTGACTCTCCTTCCAGATATGCCATTCCATCTTCATTGTTTTTGCCCACCAAGTTATTGGATATCTTGGTCATTTGTATGTAATCCATTAGTTTATCTCTCCAATCCTTTTTAGTTAACACTTTTTCCCCTTTCCAATTCCTAGCAGATAGCATTCTTGCTGCCTCAAAAATGTATTGGGCTATTTCTTTATTATCCCGATTGAATCCTTCCCTAAGCAGCAGACCCAACCCTGAATTTTTTTGTCCTTATTGCACAACATTTTATTTGTTTCCTTAATTACTTTACTCCAAAATCCTTTAACATTCTCACATGAACACCATATATGAAAGTAAATTTCTCTGTGTTTTACATTTCCAGCACCTATCTTGTTGAGATTTATCTATTTTTGCAAGTTGGACTGGTGTTTTATAACTTCTATAAAACATTTGTATACATTTTCTCTAATTGACCCCACTATTGTAAAATTGAATTATTTCTTCCAGAGTAGTTACAAAACCAACCGTCACATCCTTTTTAAATCTTGCATGTAGTTGATGATAATGGAATTTCTCATTAGTAAGCAATTTAAAACCATAACATAGTTTCTATTAGATGTGCAAAATTCAGAATATTAAATTTCAATGTTATCTGTAGTGACCCTCTTCCCTTTCCCCAGTTATTTGCCTGAGACAATTATAAGCATCATAACTGTTGTTTTCTTTTTATTAGAGCACAGTTGTGTGCTGATTTTCTCTCTCTAGTGGCTATAGAAAAAAGCAGAGGAATGCATACCAAGACATTTTATGGAAATGTAAAACATTTGCTCCTACTGTTTATAATTCTGCAGTGAGAGATGCAGTATTTCATATAACCAGAGATTCTCTGGTGCAGTTTAAGGATACAGAATTCCTTGGAAGATGTGGCAGGGAGATCTTTGGTTAAGATTCAAATTCTAATATTGTAGTTATCTCTTCAACTATATCTCATAGTTGAGTTTTCCATTTGTAGCTCTGTTACAAATGAATTGAATGTAATGTTTTGCATCTTCAGAGTGATGAACATCTCATGTACAAAGTGTGATAACAATGCTAAATTCATTTCAATTCCAATTATAACACAACACTTATTCAAGATCTATACAATCTCTCCTATTTGCTAAGTTCAGCTCCTGCTCCATTTAAATCCTCCCTAATAATAGAATCTTAGAATTGAAAAGAGTCCCAGTAGGCATCTAGTTCAACTCCCGGCAGCTATATGACACTCCAACCTCTGTTAAAATGTCCAATGAAGGAGAGCCCCCCCCCCCCCAAATGCTGGAAACGTCTATTTCACTGTCAAACTGTTCTTGCAATAAAGACGTTTTTCCTAATGGTTTTGGTAGAATCTTTTTTCTTGTGATCTAAATGTATTGGTTTATGTTCTAGCCTTCAGAGCAGAGCACAAGCTCATTTCATCTTCTGTCTGACCACCTTCTGATATTTAAAGATAGCCAATCTTCTCTTCTGCAAGCCAGACATGTCTAGCCCACTGAATGGTTACTCCTGAGGCTTAGTTTTCAGACCTTGATCATTTTGTGTCCATTCTCTGGTCACTTTCCAGCTTGCTATAATAACTTCCTTGAACTGCCGTGCCCATAGTCCAAGGTGGGGTATGACCAAAGGGTGGTACTACTATTTCCCTTGAATTATTCCATAATCTGTAAACCAGAGCTCATTTTCTTGCAAAGCCTTTACCAATCTACAAGCCAAAGTTCCTTTTTTATTCAAAGGCTGCAGGAAAATATACCACAGTTCATTTTGTTACAGCCAGCTACCTCTTACCTTTTCTTCACTGTTTGGAGAGAAGGGCAGAAGGAGCTCGAAAGGAAATCTGTATGGGTTGGATGAGGCCCCAGTTTTAAGGGAAATTGGTTCCATTATGCACTATATTGTAGATGAGTGATTGAGACATAGAGTAACTTGCTTACAATGACCAAGGCAGTTTATGACAGAATGAGAAATGAACCAGTGACTAATTCATAGGTCCACTTTTCTTGGTTATTAATCTGCACCATGACAACATGGTTCCTCTTCAAGCTTTTATACTTATCAGGATGTCTTGACACTAAGACTCATAATACTCGTATGCATGAGCAAACTATAGGCATATATATGTATATGTGTGTGTGTGTGTGTGTATATATATATACACACACACACACACACAGTATTTATACATATCATTATCTCAACATCTGATCTTGTTTGAGAACATGAAGTTCAAGCATATAATTCTTTGAAAATCATGACATGTTCAATTTGTGATTTCTGTCATGCTTCCTGTATCTGCATTAGATATACTCTGACCAATTTTAATGAATATGGTTTGAAGAATGCCAGGGTTATCTTGCTTTAGTATTCATTATGGAAATTCCTGCAGGGAACATGCTGTCTCTCGTTCACAATCAAGATCTGGAATACAATTTGAATAATATAGATAATCCGCTAAAGTAGGGTGGGACATAAATGGCCCTCCAGATATTATTAGATTTGAGGTCTCATTGTCTCTGTTCATTGTGTATACTGGCTATAGCTGATGGGAATTACTGTTTAACAACTTCTTGGGGAGTCACCAATACCCCACACTTTGATTAAGCCAGCAGTTCTACTTGATAATGAAGAATCAGCAAAAGTGGAAGGTTTACTGTATTTATATAGGTCTGATGCAGCAAAGGTTTTAAGACAAAGCTATACGAAACACAGAACAATTGGCACAACGCAGCCAAAAATCTAGCAAAATTCAAACCTTTTTGAATTCAGGAAAATCTGAATCCAGCATTGTTGTAGCAGCTAGCTATTATCAATGGGATTTCCTTTCCCTCCTCTCCCCATTGCAGCACTCAATGCCATATGAACAGGAACACAGCCAGACTGCAGGGGCAATCGTTCTGTTGGATTCTTCCCTGAGACATGCCATACAGTTCTACGCTTGTCCATCCATACCCTAGGCCAAGGCTTCTTAAACTCTTTTACTTGGGATCCCTGTTGGCCCAAGAAAATTTTACATGACCCCAGGTGTGTAGGTATATAAAATAGGTATAAGAATCAATAGGTAGTAAAAATAACAAATCAGCATTTGTTAAACAGTCTGTTTTCCTCTTTATGGCTAAAGCATTTTCTGAAAAGTCTACTGTAAATACGGGCATTCAGAAAATGTTTGCAGTTGCCAATTTTTTCGTGACCCTAGCATTGAGCTAAGGGGACCCCATTTGGGGTCAGAATGTACAGTTTAAGAAGTAATGTTCTAAAGTTTTGTGGGACTTCCTCCTGAGTAATGTGGTTCATGTCCAGATATTACGCACTTAATCACCTAGGATTAAGATTATTATGATCAGGCATTGTTGCCATAATACTGTTTACATCAGTGATAAATAACCACAAGTGTTTGAAAAAAATCATTAGCCCACTGCAAGACTTTGAAGAGCTGCACACGTTCCATTTATTTTAACTTTTTTAACTTTTTCTGTCTTGTTTATTAACTAAAAATGCCCCAAACCACCTAGGAAATGGTGGAGCAATTCTGTCACATTTTTTGCCAGGGAGGGGTGAGGGCTCGGCTGTTCTGACTGACTGACATGTTGTTCTCATCACATTTGTGTTGAGAAGTAACTTTCAACTCATCTGAGGTGTAGGGGAGAAAAATCATATGAGTTCCTCAAATTTGTTTCAGATGGGCAAAAGTCATGTTACCACGCTACCCATCACAGCTCCTATCGCCTAATACGAACAGGAAATATGTCTTCTGTTTGAACCCTTATCAGGTATGATGATACTTTGGTGGTTCCCATTGTTGAGAACACACCTGAAGAAAAGGATCTGAAGGAGAGAATGGCCAAGGCAATGAATGAGTATCCAGACTCCTGCGCTGTCCTGGTTAGGCGCCATGGAGTGTATGTTTGGGGCGGAACTTGGGAAAAAGCTAAAACCATGTAAGTACAGAACAATTGACAGAAGTAACTCTGATATGACAAATGAGGTTTTACATTATGCTCATTCATAACCACATGTATGTCGCTGTCAGGCAAAAATACATCATGACCCTGTTATCTATGGACTTGATATCCACAGTTTCGCAAACCTATGCTCCAATAAATATCCTCCTCATTGGAAGTGTCTGTGGGCCTTCTTTGGCTCTCCAGTGCTGTTCTTTGGTCTGCCTCCATCCCATGTTTGCTTTTATCCATGATTTCAGGAATCCATTAGGGGTGGGGTATTAGAAATGAATCCACACACATATAGGGGTCATGTTATATTATCATCTCTGTCTCACTTGAACTTTGTCCTTTTAATCATGTAGAAATTGAAAATAATATCATGACATCAAATTGTTCACAGAGATAATATAAATTCAAAAATACCTGTCGATTCGTCGATCGTAGGGGTTTCTCTGTGCTTCCACTTTTTAGCTACCACTATCCTTGCTGCAGTCATCATTTAAATTATTAGATATAATGAATATGGACTGCCTATCAGAACACTTGAAAAATAAGCAACCAAGGATGACCAGCAAAGTAGACTGGTCCCCAGTCAGAAAATATTTTAATATCAATTAACTATAACACAAAGAGGAAGCTTGCGAAGAAACCAAACCACTCTATATCTAACATGCGAACCGGGCTCTAATCATTAGATAATATAACTAACCTTTCTTCTCCCCAATCTCCACCCTCTCCGTACACCCTCCCCAAACCCTATGCACACCCCCTCCCCCCCCTCCCTTCACACTCCTGAACCCGACACACTACCTATAGATCTATTTTATCAATGATACATCAATGATTGACACTCTCTTGATGTATTCCCCCCAAAAAAACCTTCAATAAAAACTATTTAAAAAAAATACCTTAATTCTCTGACCATGATATTTTATTTTCATAACCATTTTGCAAATACTTCAGGGACATCCATTTTTTTGTGAATGTTGGGGATGGAGTTGAGCATTTAGAATCAAAGAATCAAAGAGTTGGAAGAGACCTCATGGGCCATCCAGTCCAACCCCCTCCCAAGAAGCAGGAATATTGCATTCAAATCACCCCTGACAGATGGCAAGGGAAACACAACCAGAATGTGAAGGGAAAGCATTTAGGTTTTTCAGCTAATTATAACTCCTCAGCTCTTATCGTAGCTCCTCCATATAACTGCTTTATTCTTGTAATCATTAATTACAATAGTATTTTCAATGTGAAGGGAAAGCATTCTTAAAATAATCTTATGCAAGAATGAAAGACATTAGTTTATTTATTTATTTATTTATTTATTTAATACACTTATATACCGCAGTATCTCAGCCTGGAACGGCGACTCATTGCGGTTTAACAACAGATAAAAGCAATATACAATTTAAAAACAGCAACATATAAAACAATACGAATTATTGGGCCACCAATAAAACTTCATGCTTCTCATCACAAAAATCGCAGTCCAGAGATCGTTGTCCGTAATTGACCAGTCCAAATTGTCCATGGATTCAGTGTTTGATAACTAGTTAAACGCTTGACTACACAGCCATGTTTTTAACCTCTTCCGGAAAACCATCAGCGAAGAAGCCGATCGTATCTCTGAAGGGAGGGTGTTCCAAAGCCGAGGGGCTACCACAGAAAAGGCCCTGTCTCTCGTTCCCACCAGCCGCGCTTGGGAAGCCGGCGGGATAGAGAGCAGGGACTCTCCAGAAGATCTTAGGGCCCTGGTGGGCTGATAGGCTGAGATACGTTCGGATAGGTAAGTTGGGCCAGAACCGTTTAGGGCTTTAAAGGCCAAAACCAGCACTTTGAATTGAGCCCGGTAGCATATCGGCAGCCAGTGGAGCTGGTGCAGCAGAGGAGTTGTGTGCTCCCTGCGCCCCGCTCCTGTTAGTACCATGGCTGCCGCCCGTTGGACTAGTTGGAGCTTCCGGGCTGTCTTCAAAGGCAACCCCACGTAGAGAGCGTTGCAGTAATCAAGGCGGGATGTAACCAGAGCGTGGACTACCGTGGCCAAGTCAGACTTCCCAAGGTACGGTCGCAGTTGGCGCACAAGTTTTAACTGTGCGAATGCTCCCCTGGTCACCGCCGAAACCTGGGTTTCCAGGCTCAGCGATGAGTCCAGGATCACACCCAAACTGCGAACCTGCGTCTTCAGGGGGAGTGCGACCCCGTCTAACACAGGCTGTAACCCTATACCCTGTTCGGCCTTGCGACTAACCAGGAGTACCTCTGTCTTGTCTGGATTCAATTTCAATTTGTTCGCCCCCATCCAGACCGTCACAGCGGCCAAGCACCGGTTCAGGACCTCGACAGCCTCCTTAGTAGCAGGTAAAGGAGTGACAGAGTTGGACATCATCTGCGTACAGATGACATCGCACTCCGAAACTCCGGATGATCTCGCCCAGCGGCTTCATGTAGATGTTAAACAACATGGGAGACAGTATTGAACCCTGAGGAACCCCACAAGACAAAGGTTGTGGGGTTGAACAGGAGTCTCCCACTAACACCATCTGAGATCGACCCTCGAGGAATGAGCGGAGCCACTGCAAACAGTACCTCCAAGACCCATCCCCGCGAGGCGTCCCAGAAGGATACCGTGGTCGACGGTATCGAAGGCCGCTGAGAGGTCGAGCAGCACCAACAAGGACACACTCCCCTTGTCGAGCTCCCGACGCAGATCATCCACTAAGGCGACCAAGGCTGTCTCAGTACCATGCCCCGGCCTAAAGCCAGACTGTGCCGGATCCAGATAATCCGTGTCTACCAAGAATGCCTGGAGTTGTGAGGCCACCACACGTTCCATGACTTTGCCCAAAAAGGGGAGATTGGAAACAGGCCGATAGTTGACGAATTGAGTGGGGTCCAGTGATGGTTTCTTCAACAGCGTTTTTATAACAGCTTGCTTTAAGCTGGCTGGAATTTTGCCTTCCCGAAGGGAGGCATTAACCACCACCTTCACCCACTCGGCCAATCCCCCTCTGGCCTCCTTCAGAAGCCAGGATGGGCAGGGGTCTCGGATGCATGTGGTAGCTCTCATTCCTCCAAGCACCTTGTCCACATCCTCGGATTGAACCAATTGAAATGAATCCATCAAAACCGGACAAGCAGATGCTCGTGTTACATCCTCTGATACTGCCGTTAATATGGTATCCAGTCCAGAGCGGATCAAAGCGACTTTGTCTGCGAAGAACCGAGCAAAGGCTTCGCAGCGAGCTGCCGAGTCATCAGGGCACCCATCCTGAGTGGTGGGTTTTAATAGGCCTCTGACAACTCGGAACAGTTCAGCCGGACGGTTCTTAGCAGACGCAATAGTGGCCGCAAAGAGTTTTCTTTGCGGCTTTTATTGCCGTGGCATATGCCCCTAAAAAGGACACAAACCGTGTTCGATTTGGCTCGCTCGGATCCGAACGCCACACGCTCTCTAGTTCCCTCTTCTTTCGCTTCAACGCCGCCAACTCCTCGGTGAACCAAGGAGCTGGTTTAGCTCGGCTACTTGAGAGGGGACGTTCTGGAGCGATCGTGTCTATTGCCCTAGCCATCTCCCCATTCCAGAGAGCGACCAGGCATCAACAGGATCACCAACCGAGGTGGCGGGAAATTCCCCAAGAGCCGTCAGGAATCCATCCGGATCCATAAGCCTCCTGGGGCGGACCAACTTAATGGGTCCTCCACCTCTGCGGAGGTTAGGGGGTGCAGTGAGTCTAAAGCTGACCAGGTGGTGGTCGGTCCATGGCAACGGAGAGATGGATAACTCCTCAACACCGCCACCTTCCTCCCATCCCTGGCAGAAAACCAAGTCCAATGTATGTCCAGCACTGTGGGTGGGGCCAGATACCTGTTGGGACAGCCCCATGGTTGCCATGGTAGACATGAAGTCCTGAGCCGCTCCCGATGAGGCGGACTCGGCGTGGATATTGAAGTCCCCCAGCACAAGCAGCCGTTGGGACTCCAACACCAGGTCCGAGACCACCCCCGCTAGCTCAGTCAGGGAGTCTGTAGTGCAGCGAGGTGGCCGGTACACTAACAGAATCCCTAGTCTGTCCCGGTCACCCACCCTCAGGTGGACGCATTCAAAATTTGTGGTCTGCGGAATGGGGGCTCTGGTCAGAAGAATAGAATCTCTATAGACCACTGCGACCCCGCCTCCCCGCCCTCCGGATCTCGGTTGGTGCTGCACAGAGAAACCTGGTGGACAAAGCTGGGTTAAATTTACACCTCCCGCTTCGTCCAACCAGGTCTCTGTGATGCACGCCAGATCTGCCCGTTCATCCAGGATTAAATCCTGGATGAAAGTTGTTTTACCATTGACAGATCTGGCGTTCAACAGCACCACTTTCAATCCGGAGGGACCGCCATCCTGGTTACACCGACTTACCATATCAGGAGACCGATTTGGAATTACTAATGTTGTTCCACGTTCCCTAGGCCGAATTAAAGGTCTCCTTTTCCCGTATCTCCCCATCCCCACCACGACTTCTATGGGGGCTCCCCGGTTAACGGAACCCTCTCCCTCCTCCATGATGCACATTGCTTCAATCAGTGGTACATAAGGTGCTAGACCTTGAAGTGAACTAAGTGACCTTAAGAACTATCCAGAAAAATGCCATTGTATTTTTCCTGTTTTGTTTCCTTTCCAGGTGTGAGTGTTTTGATTACCTCTTTGATGTTGCAGTACAAATGAAACAACATGGACTCGATCCTGCTGTAGTTCCTACTAAAGAAAATGGTATTGTTTAATGTAGGTTTTGTCTTGAGATGACTCCCATGTTTCAGTGGAATATCATAAAAGGACTTTGGGCTCTGTATCTTAGCAGACATGGCTATTTGACAAAATGTTACTATCTGCTTGTTACAATGACAAAGAAGTTGTAAGATAGTCTGGATTGTTGTGTTTCTTGAAATGTTCTCTGCCACCTACCACCTTATCACACTTAGATTATTTGGTCCCTTGCTACTCTTTGGGAACGGGGTCTCCCCGAGCACCATTACATTACGCTGGCTTGGCCCCACTCATACTTGAAGTAGCAAGAAAGCATCACAAAATGCTTCCTCAGCGATGACAGGAAAGTAAGTGACTCTTAGGTAGCTCCAATGGAGCTACCCACATTTTTGATGCCTTTGTGATAGGGAAAAGGGCAACATTCCTTGCCAGTCTTTCCCCTGTCTGATGCCCCTATGTGATGGGGGAAGGAGGGAGGGTGTGTGTGTGGGGGGGGGGTGCCATGAGGCACACCGCACGCCTTCTGTTTTGTTAGCAAAATGGAATAAAATGGGAGGGGGGTTAGTGTGTTGAAGCCTTTAATTTCACAATATAACAGAAAGTAACTTTGATTCAAGTTCTTTCACCTGGCTCATGTTCTAGATGTTTTTTTTTTCTTTTTCTGATAGCATTCCTATTATCAAAACAAGATTTCTAATTGCTGTAAAGTTAACATTCAAGAAAACCTGGCAGGGCACTTAATGAAAATGCAATTAATGTTTGAAGCAGTTTTAAATTAGAAAATATAAAGTGCCCTGCAGAAAAACTATGCCACAAAAGGAATTTTTATTGTACTTTTTATTTTAATAAATCGGAGTATCTTTTCTTGTGCATTGTGTTCCTCTGATCATCTAAAATCAGTCTATATTTCAGAAGGAAAATGTGCTTTGGCAACTTTTAAGTTAAAGTTGCCTTTTGGCATTTTAAGGGAAAGAAAATCATGGATACATGATAAGTAATAGTAGCTGTTTCTCAGTGAATGACGCGTGTAGGTTCAGTCATATTATAACAGAGCAAGGAGTGAACCTGGCTGTAACAGAATGCATGAAACAGCTTTTTATCTCTGTCATTTAAGAGGAAAAGTGACTAAATTTTGTAGTTCTTCTTCCTACTGCTGTCTTCCATTGCACTTTCTATGTTGTTCTGGAAAGTATACAAATCCTTTGGGATAGATTTTTGTAGGTTGCCAGGAGTACTATATCAGGAAACAATAAATCAGGAAAAAAAATCACTGGCAATCTGAACTTAGCAGTAAACATGGCACAGGCATGGCGTCACTACAATTGAACTTGTAATAAGTAATTAAGCCAAAGGCATATTTTCTCCCTTATTAAATCGTATTCCAAGTAATTTTTTTGTCTCTAGGTGCTGCATATGATAGTTTTAATTTACATAAAACAGTTATAAAACACAAATGATTTATGTTTTATATGTTATGATAAGTGTGTTCAATTTATTCATAAAAGGTTCCTCTGGAAGACACCACTCTACTGAAAACCTTGTCCAGACATCTCTATTCCATATTTTCCACTGATTAGGAAAGTGTGTCCAGTTGAACATGGTTGATACTGATGAAATATCAAGAGGATCAGTATTTTATTCAGTCATGCAAACAAGAGCATAATCAAGAATGTCAGTCACAAGAATCTATTTATTCATTTGAATAAAGTGCAAAGTCTGCCTTTGTAAAATCTCACTATGCAGGTTGCCTTCGGGTGTTTTGTGTGTTTTATTACATTTGATATATTTTGGCAGGAGAGAGTAGATACTGCTATATAGCAATTTGCTTTCTCAACAGCACTTTGATCTCTTTCTGATAATGATTTTTTAAAAAATAAATCATTCCATTGGCATCTCTTCTGAAACTGTTCAACTCTGTTATTATCAGTGAACTCCACCAACCTCTCTGTTTGTGTGAATTGGTTCCACTTAACCAGTACACAGTTTGTGAATGAAGATACACATGAATATTTCATTGAACCAAACTATTGATAACAATGTTGGTATTTCTTTTTAAGGAATTATTTTTTATTCCTTGCACACTAAAATTATGTACATGAGAAAACTTTGACAAATTCCCTCTCCCCCAATATTTTAATGAACAGAAGAAAACACAAAGGAAAAACAATATTTATACATACATAAACACATACTTAAACAGCAGTTACATATCAAACTACCCGTCTCTACAGTAATTCAATACAAGTCTAAATTACAAACATAAACATACATTGATATGAAAAGTAGATTTCTTGCTTCCCGTTTTTAATTTCTCTAGTTTTCTTTCACCTTATATTACCTCATATAACAAGTTATATAACTTTTTTTTTTACTTCTGCTTATTTTAACATTTATAGATAAGTATCTCAACAGTTTGTATTTCTAAACCTGTACATAAAGTATTCCCCTTTCCCACAGGTATTGTTGTTGTTGTTGTTGTTCATTCGTTCAGTCGTCTCCGACTCTTCGTGACCTCATGGACCAGCCCACGCCAGAGCTCCCTGTCGGCCGTCACCACCCCCAGCTCCTTCAAGGTCAGTCCAGTCACTTCAAGGATGCCATCCATCCATCTTGCCCTTGGCCGGCCCCTCTTCCTTTTGCCTTCCACTTTCCCCAGCATCATTGTCTTCTCTAGGCTTTGCTGTCTCCTCATGATGTGGCCAAAGTACTTCAACTTTGTCTCTAGTATCCTTCCCTCCAATGAGCAGCCGGGCTTTATTTCCTGGAGGATGGACTGGTTGGATCTTCTCACAGTCCAAGGCACTCTCAGAACTTTCCTCCAGCACCACAGCTCAAAAGCATCTTTCTTCCTTCGCTCAGCCTTCCCTAAGGTCCAGCTCTCACATCCGTAGGTGACTACAGGGAATACCATGGCTTTGACTAGGCGGATCTTTGTTGCCAGTCTGATGTCTCTACTCTGATGTCTTTACTATTTTATCGAGACTGGACATTGCTCTCCTCCCAAGAAGTAAGCGTCTTCTGATTTCCTGGCCACAGTCTGCATCTGCAGTAATCTTTGCGCCTAGAAATACAAAGTCTGTCACGGCCTCCACATTTTCTCCCTCTATTTTCCAGTTGTCAGTCATTCTTGTTGCCATAATCTTGGGTTTTTTTATGTTTAGCTGCAACCCAGCTTTTGCGCTTTCTTCTTTCACCTTGATTAGAAGACTCCACAGGTATATATTGATAAAATGATTTCTTTTTTTTTTCTAAAAATGTGTCCAATAACTTATCTTTCAACAAAATCGTTAACTTGTCCATTTCTATTAGTCCCCACATCTTCTCTACCGAATCTTCTACTGTTGGTACCTCTGTCTTTTTCCACTGTTGAGCATGTAGGATTCTTGAAGCTGTTAACAAGGCCTGCAGTATCCTTTCATGTTCCTTTTTCATTTGATTACCCAACAGTCCTAATAAAGTTCTGTCTTGAAGTTCATTCTTGTATTAAGACTTTTTTTGTTATTATTACCCCATCCATGAACATGTCTCCAGAGTTGACAACTTTCTTAGTGTATAAGGAATTTTTACCCACATTGGCCATCAATCACTGGAAAAACATTATGGAAGAAGAGATTCCCTATTCCCTGATCCTTCCAACATGTCCCACAAATTTACTCCAAAGGGTGGAAGGACATTTTTTAACTTATTAGGATGGCATATGTATGGCTACAGGTTAGAAGGAGAAGGAGGAAAATACCATTTCATGAGCAGATGTCTGCGAGGAGAACAGCCAACATTTGTCTGCAAGCATAATGTTGGATGGGACCCAAAACTTTCCAGTAATAACAAATCTCAGTCTTATCACTAACCAATCTGAAATCTTGAGTATCTTATAAATCCAAGTGAAACTACTCAGTGCAACTTGCAAGTGAATTAAAATATTTCCAGACATTGGTAGGAGCAAATCAGACTGTACATCTATTGCCTTCATCAAGTAAGATTTTTTTTTTTGCCATACTGTGGGTGTTTTGTCTGCTTTGTGGTTTTTAATGACTTGGTTTATGATTGCTAGCAGATTCTTCATTTATAAGCTGTCCTACCCATTTCTAGTGCCTCACTTAAAATATTAAGTATTTCATCATACACATTAATTCCTTAAGTAATACATCACCTCCTTTTCTAATAGGGGAAGATAATACATCTTGACTTATCACAGTAATATAAATATATGTGATTTAAGTATATAATATATATGTGTGTGTATGTTCAGATGATCCATTTCCCCAGAACAAGGCATAGTACTGACTATAATTTAATACATAATTTATAACTTTTTGTTTTTATAGTATGTGCCTACTTCTTAACCCACCAGGTCATGTACAATCTATATAAATAAAAATGTAACATAACTCAAAAACCACTGAGCTAATTGACACCAAATTTGGACACTACACCCCTAACAGACCAATGAGTGACCATCACTCATAAAACCTCCCCCAAAAAGCAGCAGAAAGGACTTAAAAACCCCAAAAATGACAAAACAGTTGCAGATGCCCGGCTTACTAACCATGGAGCCCTTGGAGCAAGGACGCACTTCTCTCAAGTGCTTCCTTTGAGCTCTACTCTTTTCCGGCCTATGTCTAGAGGAAAGGAATGAAGGAGGGAAAGGGGAAAGGAAGGAAGGAGGGAGGGAAGGAAGGAAGAAGAGAAGGAGGGAGGGAAAGAAAAAGGGGGGTATGCAGGAAAGAGGTAGAGAAGAAAGGAAGGACAGAAGGAAAGAAAGAAAGGAGAAGGGAAAGAAAAAGGAGGGAGGAAGGAAATGGAGGAAAGAAAGGAGAGAAAGAGGAAGGGAAGGTTGGCCACAGCAACTAATTTGGACACAATACATCTATCAGGCCAATGAGTGACCATCACTCATAAAAACACTGAAAAACAGCAGAAGAGACTTTAAAAGCAAAAAATAAATAAATTACAACACGTGCAAAACCACATATATACACGAAAAGACACCTATATACACACAAAGCACATATACACAGACTGGGCCACAGCAATGCATGGCAGGGGGCAGCTAGTATATCAAAGGTTTTTGATAAATTATGGTTTGGCTTGTTAGATTAAGAAAAGTAGGTTTAAGAAAACAATCATAAATCAGATATACTTTATCTTTTTTTCCTTTGTTTCTTTTTACTACTTTTTACTTTTTTTATTAAAATCAAAATCCAGAAATTGGAAGTAAAGTTGTACATGATCCCATAGTATCAAATCTGTTGCAAAAGCTCAGTAAAATGGCAGGAAGTGTTTTGGATGAATTAATAAAGAATGTTTGTGCCTGTCTTTATGTAAGATATGAAGAAGGAAAAGGAAAAGAGCTTAACAGTTCACACCCTGAGAAACTGAAAGTATATAATTGCATTGTTTTTCACCAAAATGATGCCTCTTTCAAATATGTCTTGGGCATTAGAGAGATACAATGGCAATCCTTTGGAAACCTCTTCAACAAGAACACAAGCTTAAAAGGATAGAGCTGCTCTTGAACTGATGTGGGCTTTAAACAAATAGAGTGGTACCTTATTAGATATACACATTTTTTAATAAAAAGAATTGTTAGTGCTCTGATTAATGCTTCAAATGTGCTTCATGAGGTATCCAGCAAATTCTAATATATGCATTGCTAAAGAGTGCTGAACTAGTTCACTGAGACTTAGGTATTTTCTGCCAAAATAAACATTGAAGGAGTGGTTCATACTCATATCTTAATGTTCTGTCATGGGTGCTATTGAGAAACTACTTCTGTCTTTCAATGTAGAAAGGGTTTCATCAATGAACCAGAATTTTATTTTATTTTTATTTATTAGACTGATTTTACAAATTCAAATCCTTTGAAGACAACTTAACACTTAAGACATATTGATTAAATATAATAAACAATATTAAACTATAACATCTCATAGTGATCCTTACCACAAGGGTATTATTAGCCCTTGGAGAGCAGGATCTGAGCTCATCTTTTTCTCTGTAAATAATTATTTCATACAACGTATTATGACAAAAAAGACTAAAATTTCACAGATGCAACTCAGGACACATATGCCCAAGCAACATCTGAGTATGCTCAGGATAGCAATAAGTATTAATAAGGAAGAACACACAGGCTAGGAGAGTGTGCAGCAGTTATTTTGCCTGAGTCTACTAGAAAATATACTATTTCCTCCTCTGCTCTCCCTCTTGCTTAGTTAAATGAGTACAAACTTATGCTTCATCTACACAGGCACTATAATCCAATCAGAAGACAGCTTGACGTCGGGGTGTCTACAAACATACACCTCCAAGATGACCTCGAACACACACCCAGCTGGAAACTGCATTTTTTTAAAAAAAAACTTACCAAAAAGTCAAATCAGTAAAAAAAAAACTTACCAGAAAGTCGAATTAGTAAAAAAAAAAAAATCCACTGAGGCCAGTCAGGGTATGGCTTAATTTCTGCTGCAGAGCAGAAATTAAGGATCAACATGCAGAGTGCACATGAGGACAGGGCTAGTGCTGAAACATTTGGATAAAGAAACTGAATACACAGCTCAGCCAGAAGGAAAGCAAACACCTTTCCCCTGGAGTGTAAACTGCTTTTCCATTCCTGTTTTGCCTTGAATTGTTGTAACACTGATCCTTATCAGATAGGCTGCCACTTTGCAGCGCATCTCACTGTACGAGGCAGTGAAACCTTATTTCTTGCCTCGGATTAATCCTGAATCCAAGGATCTGTGTGGACTCCATCCCAGTTTCCAGCCTGTTCTTGAGATACCTGTGTAGGCACTCTGAAGTAAACTGAATCTCTTTGATCCAACTCCTAAATTGGATTAAATGGCTGTTTAGGAGCAGTCCGAGTTTGCAGCATTTGAAGTAAGACAAGGATTAAGGGAGGGAGTGAGTTGTTTATTTGTTCAGTCACTTCATGGCCTCATGGACCAGCCCACACCAGGGCGCCCTGTCAGCTGTCACCATCCCCAGCTCCTTCAGAGTCAAGGAGAGAGTGAGAGCAGGGAGAAAAAAAAGCTGTAAAAGTAGAACAGAGGATTAATTGGGATTGTTGTGAATGTGGTGTTAACGTGGGAGGGTGGGGGCGTGGCGTGAACGTGGGGGGGTGTGGGCGGAGGAAAAAGAAGGAGAGGCAGGAGGTATGGTTGACGTATGGGCGTTTAGGGGCAGGGCGGGGGAGGGTTGGGGTGTGGTGTGAACGTGGGAGGTTGGGGGCGGGCGGGGGAGGGTGGGAGCATGGCGTGAACATGGGGGGCATGGGCGGAGGAAAAGAAGGAGGCAGGAGGTATGGTTGGTGTATGGGCGTTTAGTGGCGGGGTGGGGGAGGGTGGGGGTTTGGCGTGAACGTGGGAGGGTGGAGCATGGCTTGAACGTGGGGGCATGGGCGGGGGAAAAAGAAGGAGAGGCAGGAGGTATGGTTGGTGTATGGGCGTTTAGGGGCGGGGTGGGGGAGGGTGGGGGCATGGCGTGAACATGGGGGGCGTGGGCGGGGGAAGAAGAAGGAGGGTGCATTGGAAAGAGGGCATATGGGAGGGTAGGGGCGGGGCGACGGAGGATGGTGGCCTGGCTTGCGCAGAGGGTGCGTTGGCCGGCCATGTGCACGCGCCGGGCGACTTGCGGCAGGAATCTTTTGCACATGCTCAGTTCCTTTTTGTAATTGTGAGTTTATTGAAAAGCATTAACATTTTCAGGCAGAGAATCCCAAGCATCTCGCCATGAACAACAAATTCAAGAATTCTCTAGGATAAAGCCATGGTTGTGGCTGTTGCTGTTATTTAGCCATTTATATCCTGATTTCTTCTCAGTAGTTGATCTCAAAGAGACTTACAAAACCATACTTAAAGTGATATAATTGTGAGTGTGAAAGAGCCCTGTGACAACATTTTCACCTAACCATTAAGATCAAAATTCAGTTTGAATACTTTATATGTGTGAATGTGTTTAATCAGAAAGTATGCACAAATTACACCAAAATATAATATAGTTCTTCCAATATAATATTTTATCACAGTGCTGTAAATAATGGTTAATCTTCTGCTGCATCTGGTGGTGTCATATGAAGTATTCAAAATTTTTCTCTTTGTCAGTTTAGTTTCTGAATACAATGTGTTTATTTGTTGTAATGGATGTATGCAGAATACAGTGTGTTTATTGAACTATAATGCTGACTGATCCTAGTTGCAATTTAATTTTGACTTCATTAGAAACCTACTTAACATTTTCAAAAAATTTTTACAGCCAGCACATCAACAAAAATGGCTGAATAGTAGTGTTGCATCAGCAGGCACAAATTGTGCCAGGGTAGGTTGTGAACATGAGTCATTTGTTAGCACATTGGGTGCATGCTGATGAAACTTCTATTGTGCAATTGCAGAATTTTGTATGGGGAGAATGATCAGAGTGGGGCAACAAACTGTGAATGATGTGGGAAGGGGGTTTGTCTGCTATGGCCATGAAATT